GAAAAATACCGGAAACAACTGGAGGAAGTGAAGAAGAAGTTTGAAGACGAGGCCAGAAAACACGCCGAAGAATTTAATGAATTCAAAATCAAATATAAGAATCAGTTTGCTTCTCTTTTGCAAAAACACGATGAAGAAATAATGGAAATAAAGGAAAAACAAAAGAAAGAACTACAAGAAAAACTTAGAGACAGTTAGAGCGAAGCAAGGAGGAAAATGAGAGCTTCATGGTGGGACAGCAGTAGGGAGCATTTGAAGCTTTCAGCAGGTTTAAAAACCCACAGTTTAAAAACCATGATCGTTTGATCCTTAATTTCCTTCAATTGACTTTGGGGAAATGGATAATAAAAGAAAACATACAATAAAGTCATTAATGATCATTTGATCGACTGAATGGTATCTGGAGAAAATGTTATAGTTTAAAATATTCAACTGACTGCAAAAATAATTTAGATAAACACAAGTGAAATAATAAATGTGTAAAATGTTATTACATTATCACTTATATTTTATATATTTTTAACTCTTTTTTGACAAAGAACAACAATTAATGCTGTTAGCCTTAATAAAGGATAGCAGCTAACATGCGATTCATTAAACTGGTTTAATGAGAAATAAGCTGAGTACTATGGGATTATTTTAAGTGTGACATAAAATGTTGTTTTAAATGTTATATGAATCTGCCTTTTCTTTTGGTCCTAAATGTTTATTTCTACATTTCTTCCTTCAGTTATCTGAAACTGATGAATAGCAGCAGCTGTTTGCTGCACAAAGGAGATCATCTGCTGTTTCCATGAGTTAATAGAGTTGAACAAAGCTGCTTTTAACTGCAGTCATGTAAGATTTAAGTTCTTTGTTTCCTGCTGTGTTCAGCATAAAATGAGAAATCTGTCTTTAATGATTTTATGTCTTATTAAAGATTTAACAAGTTACATCTAAAAACTGACACTTTAAACTGTTTTGAGTCGTTATATTTACATATTCTATGCTTACTACTTCATAAAAATAACATAAAAATTATGGCTCTGAAATTATGGGTGATTTGTATTGAGTTGGGATAGTTTGGTTGTTGTTACATTGAAATTTTAACTGTTAACATCTTGGATTTTTACAGGTCTGGTTGTCTTTAGTTGTATTTTTCTAATTTTTCTATTAAATATTTTTGTTTCTGAAAAAAATGGGTTCTGTTCATTTCTTGTATCTTAGACTTTAAACAGAAACTGGGATGATTTAGTTCATCAATTTAATTTTAAGTGATAACTTTTAAAAATGTTTCTGGTTTTAAACTAAATTCAATGAGATTTAATTAAGGATTAAGGAGAGTGAAAAAATTAAAGCAATCCACTGGACTTTGTTTTCCAAGTTTCTGGACATTTCCCTTCCCAAACCTTGCAGCTTATCGGCCGTCGTCTGTAACAATAACAGGAATGTTAAAGCTCTGTGATTCTTTAGTTTATAAATCTACTTCTAGAATAAAGGAGCCAGTGGAGCCGCCGTCAGACTGAGGTTAAATGATTCAATGTTTTTTTTTTTGACAAATACTGAAGAGAAGAAATTTAAAG